AACATTTCATTCCAGCACTGCGTCCCGAGTCTGTATCATCATCAGTGACCCCTCAGACCCCAGTCATGCACTGTTCTCCCTGCTACCCTCGGGGAGAGACTTTGCAGCATTTGATGCAGGTCCAGCAGATTCTGAAACAGCTTCTTCCCCACCGCCATCAGACAGCTGAACTGTTGAAAAAACTCTAAATCATGTCACAGACTCTGCATCAAACTGACATCACCAAACCAAAACACTGCAAAATTGCACCATATATATTGAGTGCTCTGACCTTTCATATCAATGCGTTGTGTTTTTTGCACAGCATTGTTTACATTTGATTACTGCTGCTTTATGGAATGGCAATGTCATGAGAGCTGTACAAAATGTAATTTTGTTTTGTATACACTCTGTGTATTCAAAATGAAAAAGTTGTCTAAGTTTGAGTGATATTGCATCTGAACGTGTCATTTCAAAGATGTGCAGCAATTTTTGGGACAACTGAGACACTACTAATTTAAATACTTCCACCACCAATTCTTGAGCTAATAAAAGCATGTAGCCTTCTGAAGATCATCACAGTTTAAAAAATGCACCAATTTAACACAAAAATGCTAGAAGCTTGATTCAACTACTGTATTATTTGTTTAAATTTAGAATCCGAATAAGAAAATAAAGTAGATTTTTACAGTACTGACTCAATTAGTAGCTTTCTTGATAAACAAAACAACGTTAATTTACTGTTACCTGGTTCTAAGGAGAGAGATAGATTTGGGGATCATATGGATAATACATAGAGAGCGTTTTTGTTATGATTGATTCCAATGGAAGCGAATAGAGGCGGGAAAAAAAAGGCTGACCAGGGATGGAAGCCTGTGGAACCCTAAATGACAAAGTAGGACAGCACTCATAATTTAAACAACCTATATATATATATATATATATATATATATATATATATATATAGACGGGGCTGCCTTTTACAGCTGCTTTTTGTATCTCTGCTTCTGTCTCCTTGAACCCCAGTCGGCCTTGGCAGATGGCTGCTCACACCCAGTCTGGTTCTTCTGGAGGTTTTTTTTCCTGTTAAAAGAGAGTTTTTCCTCTCCACTGTCTCTACAAGCATGCTTAGCGTAAGGAATGTGAAAGTGCCTTGAGAGGACATGTTTTGTGAATCTGTATTATATAATTAAACTAAACTGAATTGATTTATATCTTGTAGAATATAACAGAATTGTTTTACTTTTTTGGAGTATGTGAAGTTATAAGAGAATAATGGAGCCAAACCTTTTGTGAAATATGTTAGTGTTGTCCCATAACAGCCTATGAGCTCAGGCCCTTTCATAATGGATTAAATAAGTTTTCACACCCTGAGTGACAAACTTCCTCTCTTCTGTTACGTTCATGAATGGCACTGCTGATTTAAAATTTTTGCTGAGTAGAGCAGCGCGGTTCTTTGTCCTTTTAGATTCTGGCTCTCTGAAACAGCATTTATTCAGGGGGGCTGTTTGAAAGGGTTCAGCTGGGCTAAATAGGAAGCTGTTGCCTGTTGTTTGTACACGAAAAAGCTCTTTTGTTTTCCAGAGGAACAATTGAGCTTTTCACCAAAAGCCGGAGAGCACAGACAAACCTCACCGCTGCTGAGAGTCATGCTTTTACGCTTAGACAGAGCTCAAGCTCTATCGCTATGTCTGAACCAGTGTCTGTCCCCTTTGTTAAACAGAAATGTAATATAGCAAAGGTCCAAGGATTTTTTTGAAACCTTGATATTTTCAGCAGCATTTTGACAGTTTACATGAATTTTCAAAAGTTTCCTCTTATTCTATTCAGGGAAAAATCTTTTGGAAAATACTTAAGTAGATTTATTATACAATAACTTTGATTTTACATTTACCAAATGTTATTGTTTTGGATGCAGTAAAATTGATTACCAATACTAATTTCCCTGAACTTGTAAAACCCACACACATTTTCAGCAATAGAGGATGTGGACATCAGACCAAAGAAGAGCTCACCTCTGCAGTACTTCTGTTTTAATGTAGCTGCTGTCACTACTTGGTCACAAATAAGAATTTAAAGGTCATAATTTTAAAATCCTTTTCTTATCGTTCTGTCTCTTAGCTCATATTATTTATATTAATCTACATGACCTAGAAGAGAAATATGTAAAAAGCATGAAAAGGGAGAAAAATGCTAACTGAAGGCAGCCAAGGAAGCAGCAGAAAGTTGCTGATGAATAAAGATTTTCCTTTTGAATACCAAACTAGGGTGTCAGAGCCAATATCTACAAAAAGACAAGAAGAAGAGTTAAAGAGTTTAAATTAAAAGTTAGGCTCGTAAAAAGAAGCTTCATAACATTATATCCACAGAGAAAGAAGGGAGAAATGTTAAATACACTGAAACTTTATAGTGAATATAAAAACACTTTTGAAGCCAGCTTCCCAGTAATTCAAGAAAGTAAGAAATGACCGTTTGTTAAAAAAATGATCATTTGAAGCATTCTGATAAATTTTCTTTGTGCTCCAGTTATGACTAACATTGCTACTAGGATGTGCACAGGCTGCAATCAGCCACAGCATTTATATTCTATGTCTGGACAAAGTTTTCTAACAACGTTAACTGGTCCTTAAAAGGTGAGTGAAGCTAATGCAGCATGTCTAGTGATTAAAAGTGATGTAAAATGTTGATACATGCAAATTTGAACTAATATGTAGAAACTATTGATGAATCAGAGAACATCAGAGAAACTGAAAAAAATAAAGAGTGTCAAAGAAAGCATTCTCTTACTTGATTAACTTTGTTTACAAAAAAAGATCAGTGTTCACGTAGGTCTCACCACTGACTCCCTGTTTAAACATACACTGCTAAGTGTAATCGATATGTAGTCATTTTTTCTTAAATTTAAGAGAAATTTTTCTTGAATTGAGCAGGTAAGTGAGACAATTTGCTAATGGAATAAGACAATTTAGATTTAAAATAAGAACAAAACAATTGCAGTCTCTTATTTCATGTACATAATATCTGATTATCTTCTTTTAAGTCTAAACATACTCATTCCATTGGCAGATCATCTTATTTACCCACTCAAATTAAGGGTAAATAGACTTATTTTAAGAATCTTTTACTCATTTTAAGATAGTTTTTGCAATGGTTTGGATTGTACCAGAGATGGGGGATCTGGAGTCATCAAGTCATCTCTATGTCATGTATTTGTTCTGACCCAGTGAGTCCAATCTGCACAGGTTAAACCAGATTGGACTCACCTGTTTCAGTGGCTGGGTAGAACAAATACATGACAAAGAGATGACTTGTTGACTCCAGATCCCCCATCTCTAGATTGTACAGTCCCATGAATCCTAAACATACATTTTTATTTAATTCTTTGAAAAAAAATAAAAAAATCTGTGTAGATTTTTTTCTTTTTTTAATCAGGAGAAAAAAGGTGCTGTCACTTAAGATGCAGATAAGATGCATCCTGAATAGAAGGTGCTCACTTCCTGCTATTAATTACTTTATGCCAGAAGTATTACTAATCATGGCAGCTCATTACACTTATATAGGCCTAAATGATTTTTGTCCTCTAAAGTTGAAAATAAATGTATCGCTTAATCTGTAATTTTTATCTCCAACTCTTCCCAAAAAATTTTTCTGGTCATAGGATAAAAAATAAACCTGCAGGTAATAAATGCAGAGCCAATAAGCTCTAAGGGTTTTAATATCTATAAATTTAAAGATAAGAGTTTTGAGTAACTTTACAAGAAATGTTTATGATACCGATGTTTCATGTATGGAACCAATTATCTGCATTCATCTCTGTGAGCCTGACAGTATTAAACAAATTACGGATTTATCATGCCCTCTTTTATTGCAAAAATGATATATTACAAATTATGCGGAATACAAACAGACATTAAGCACACTGGTCTAGCAGAAGATGTAGAAGGGCAGTGGATAAGAAAATATGAACTGTGATCATTTAATCGCTTGGTTTAACAAGTGAAAGTTAGATAAAAAATATAATTAAATTTTCAAGGTCAAAATCATTAACAACAGCAAACAAGGGAAATAATTGTAGATTATGGGGGAAAATATAAATGTCAACCTCTGGTTCCACATGGGAGAATAGATGGAACAAGTGGTAAATATATATAGTGTGCAGTCATTTTAAACGTAAGTTATATAGTCCTTTTTAATAGATTGGAATATGCATTCTGATTAGGCTTTTTGGTGGGATTCAAATTACCCTTTGAAAAAAACCTTTCAGCAGTTATTAAACCCATATATCTGCAAGAAAAAATGCTTGTTGATCTAATATTCGGATATCAAATGTTTTTAGCTGTACACTTAAAATTAAGAAATAAAGGCTTGAAAACATTGCTCTGTGTGATGATGTTTTTATATTAATTTTATTTACTGAAAAAAAGTTTTCAAGAATTGCCATTACTGAATATGGCTTTAAATACTTCTCTATCCAGCTAAAGGCAAACTAGATTGAAAATAGAACAGAGAAGTCATCTGCAACAAAGAAGAGAGCTGACTGCAATTTTGAAGGGAAGCTTTGATCGTTCAGTGTTTCCAACAAGACTCTCCAGATAATTTATGAAGCTATTGTGGAGAGTACACAATCTGCTGTCATCTGTCAGGGGTTGCAAAATCACAGTCATTGAGGTAAAGCTGAACAAGCTGATGAAGGCCGACACTGTTCCAAGGACTGTGCTGGAACCCCCTGAGATGACTGTGGCCAGGAGGATTCTTCATTAAAGAGAACCCCACAGCATCTTCCTCAGACCTTCAACAGCAGTGTTTTCAGTCAGAAGGATCTCTATGTCTCCCATAATATTGACCGCTACAGGAAATCCTTCTTGCATACAACCATAAACATCTAAAACAAAGTTTTGAAGAACCCTGTATAATAGTTACAACAACTCTGTTAGCTTTTGAAATGAATGAAGTGGTTATTGAATGTTGATATTTGCAGCAGCTGTATGATGAAACTGTTTTTTGTGGCTCTCTGTCTGCAGGGGAGTACATGAGTAAAAAGGGAAAGTGCCATCTTTGTGATGTTACCTGTCTGCAGTGCACAGGCCCGGAGAGTGAGGCCTGCACCTCCTGCCCGAAAACAAGGTTCCAATCATTCTCAAGGAAATATTCCTAATATAGAGCGCATGTTTTACAATGCTGTTTCACACATTTTTTTGTTTCAACCATTTTTGAAGAAGATTAGATCAAGGCTTAGAGCATATCATGAAATGCATTGTTTATTATATCTTGATCTTATCAGCAGAGTTGATTAAACATTATTGGAGTCCATCAAACCTCAATTTAAAAAAGCTTCCAATTTTGTAGTGTAACATAATGATACTAAGACTATTTCAGAGCTTTTTAACTTTTTTAATACAATCTGTAAACTAGCTTAAAAATAAAAGCAAAGGATCTGAAATATTTTAGGGAGAAAATTAAACAGGACAACATTTGAGCTTTATATAAAATATTTGTTGACAGAAAAACCTCCAGAAAAATGTCTGCAGCACTGCACTAAACATTTAAAGTAGTGAGGCAGGCAGAAGCTAATTGTTTCTAAAAAGGCCCATTAAAGTCATGTGTTAAATGATCAAAATGGCACCCAAATGACTCCTGAACTATTAGAGTCAATTAAGAATCAAACCTGGCACTGCGCCTTTCCTCAGTACCAGCACTTCAGCTGAGCATGATTATTGGAGCTTTATTTTGCAGAGAAGTCTTATAAGGAAATAGCAGAAAGATGCATAAAAATATAAAACAAAACCTGACAATACATTTCCAGAATCCTCAGGACCTCAGACTCAAACTTAGGCTTAAATTTCAAGTAGACAATAACAAAAACCTACAGCCAAAACAAAGGACTGGCCTCAGACACACACACACATATAAATAAAGGAGTTTAAAGTCTTGGACTCAGCCAAGAAGAGTTGGATCTAAATCCAGCGGAGCTTCCCCCAGAGAGACCTGAAATTCACTCAGGGTCGATTCTGCCAAAAAGAAACAGAAAAACCTCCAAGACAAAGGTATGCCAAGCTTGTGAGATCTTTCCCAAAAACCGTAAGCTGCCAGAATCCTTCAGCCAAACACAAAGAGAAGTTTTTCAATTCTGATGTAAAGAGGCATATTTATGCGTAGAAAATGTTACAAAACACTATTAGACCTACCTCAGAGTGCCCCACTTGTTAATTAAGGAGGGAGGAAAAAACAAGCTGGATTCCTCAGGAGGCAAACCTGAAACAAAACAAAATGTTTTCCATCTGCACTGTTCATTTAAAAGATGTAAGCTAATTCTGCTGAAGTGGCTCATACATTGCATTAAAATCCAACTGCTGCATTTTAAATTGAAAGCAAAGCTGTTGCTGGTGTAAACTAAACTTGAAATCACAGATTATGTGAAACTGCTGGGTTCAGAGGTGAAATCAAACTTGTTTGTGTTTATGTTACAACTGTAGCTCTGTTTCAAATGTCAACGTAGGTTCTTTCAGGATGGACAGTGTGTTACCCATTGCCAGCAGGGGCGTTACGCCATGGGAGAACATTGTCTTCTCTGTCATCATACCTGCAAGACGTGCACTGATGAGGGTCCTGATAATTGCACCAGCTGTGGAACAGGTACTCACTCTGACAAAAATAGACTTAATGGAGTTATGCTTTTCTTTCCTTCCACAGTGGTGAAATCTTAAAATTGTTTATTACTGTTGCCAAAGTGCAAGCATGGGGCTGTTTTCCCTTCTCTGACCTCCTCTAGGTAAAGGTTTAGTGATTGAACCAGAGTATATTGGCTGAGGAAGTGGGGCCTGCTGAAGCTGCAGCACAACCTCTACCTTGTATATCTATGAACAGGAAGCAGGAATGAATAGTATATATTATGCTAAAGCTGCTGATACAAAACCCAATGTTATCATCTATGTCACTGCTATATTGGAGAGCAAGAATATTAGCTGCAAGTGAAATTATTCTCCCATCATTATCCTGCAGGAAGTTAGAAAATTTCCAAATGAGTTTCAGCTCCAGCCATTAAAAAAAATCCTGTCTTATGAAGTTAGTCTCATATTACAGCCAAGAGTTAGTTCAATTGGGAACGGTATACCTTGGGGCATAGCTGAAGCATTGATGTGGTAAAAATCAATAAACACTGACTAGTGGTTTTGATATTATCTTGCATAACATTTGTATATCCCTTAAACCTTAACAAATGAGCATGCTACAACTACAAATTGAGATGCATGTATTTATTTATTTTTTGTGATAGACAAGCACAGAAGTAGTCAAACTCCTAAAACAAATCCATCTGTTTGTATTTCAATCTCAAAATAAATACAGCTGTTCTGGGAAAACTCCTGAGGCTATAGAACAAAGACTTCACCTTGAAACAGTTTTTCTCAAAAAAAAAAAGAAGAAACAGAGGGAAGGGATGAAGCTTAAAGCAATATTTGGATATAAAATGATACTCAAAGCATTGAACATCTATTAAGAACAGTTCTGTCCTGGTAAAGATAAAACTCTTCTCCTTCATGGCTGCCCACCTTACAGAATGCGCAAGGAGAGCAGTAATCAAAGTAGCATAGCTGTAACACTAGGGGAGCTGCAGAGATTCACAGGTAAACTGGATGAATCTTTTCAAGGGCAAATAGTAGTTTAATATCCTGTAAATCTGAACCCCTATTTTCAACATTTTTTTTTAGAATTAGTGAGGAAGAAATTGAGTGAGCTTAAGAGATCTCAAGTAGAGAAGATGGCAAAAGACGAAGAAGAAATATTCTCCCCAGAGTGAACAACTGTGGGGAGTTTATGTTTATGGCTGATCTTATCAAGGATGAGCTCACTTTTCCAACCCAGCATAGTCGAGTTAACTTAATTTGTAATAAGACCTGTGACATTAATAGCATAGATAAAATTGGTTAATATTGAAATAATATTGAAAGGGAAAAAACAAACTCTCCTGCCAGATTGTGGCAACACAATGATATCACCCTCTGGCTTATGCCACCACTAGTGGCAGGGTCCCAGGGAAAGACTACTCTAATCCTTTTCTAAGTTACTTATCCAAGCGTATGTTGATTCACAGCATTGAAGTCCTCTGCCAGGGCCCAAGCGCCAAATAACTTTCATTTTTCTTCATCAGTTGCTGTCTCCTTGAACCCCAGTTGGCCTCAGCAGATGGCAGCTCACACTGTGCCTGATTCTGCTGGAGGTTTCTTCCTGTTAAAAGTTTTCCTCTCTACTGTCGCTACATGCGTGCTCAGTACAAGGGATTGCAGAGAGTTAATGATTCCTTGCAATCAGCTGGTTTTCCTTGGATAGAAATATTTTGGAGAATCTGATTGTGTTACCTGTATAACAAAATTGAATATTTTCTAATTTTAGCTTTTCTCTGTGTGACTCCCTCTGGGTTGAAATTCACCCAAGGAAATAAGTATATCACTTTGAAGTGCTTAGCTTTTTTGTGCCACCTGAACAAAAAAAAAAAAAAAAAAAAAAAACATTCATTAAATAAAATATTCATTTTTTAATCAATTTTTTTTTTTTTTTTTTTTTTTTACATTTTAAATAACATTTTAGAAAAAAGTGTGCAGGGTTGAGGACCACCAGCAGGAAAAACAGTCTAGAGAGGGAAGATTCCAAACCAACAAATGAAACAAATAACTCACTCCAAACACTTGAGCACATGCACTCAGTAGGGAAGGTAACCCATGAACAACCACTTGCACGGCACAGAGGACTAGCCCCCTGAAGCCCCTGCCTTACCTTGGCTCTCCGCCTGAACGCGGAGAAAGAGAGGGTTAGATTGAACGAAATGCAAAACCATTACAACAGCACAACTTAGGCAGTTCAACAAAATGTACCAAAGGAAATCGAAATTTGCCAAGTCAACTCGGGTAAACCTAACCTCAAATGTAAACAGATTAAAATCAAGGCACCAGTTAAAGGACCTAAATCTTTAAGGATGCTAAGCAGCAAGAACTGAAGTTGTGCTGAAGAAACTCTCAAACAAAACTAAAGGTAAATAAATAAAAATGTCAGAATTACCTCCCACTTCACATGTATCTATTAACATTAATAGATACAACATTTTAATAAAATCAAGTCAAGGTTATGGACTGTTGAAGGGGTATTAAAAGCCTCTGCTGGGCTTAATATTTCTGACTGCATTGCTGTACAAATTTGCTTTCAGACCAAGCTAAGCCTCATTTATGTCATGACACGGGCAATTGATCACCTAAAAGTAAATGTATGTAATTAAGCTAAAATGCTGCTGATTGTAAATGTTTTTCAGACAAGGAGAATCAATCTTTTGTAAGTTCTTTCCTGACATCTTTGCTTTCATGTGTCTATTTCTTATCCTCTTCCTCCTTCAAAGTGAAACATACCCTGATTTTAAGTGCTGTGATCCAACAACTTTGAGCAGCTAATCCTCAGCCCTTTTCTCATGTTATTATAAATCTCAGAGGTCATTAACAAACTGCACCTGAAGAAATATTAGTCTGATGGTGGCAGGAACAACTGTGTTTATCACACTGTTGCAGACAGTATTATGGCTGTCAGAATGAACGTGTTTACACACGGGAGATACTGTTACACACCTACAGTCACTCCAAGGTACCAGATGTCCACGGAAAAAAATGAACTCCAGATTTTCTCGTCACACACACCTTCACATACACTTTCAATTAGCTGAAAAATTTGTCAGCCTGTTTAAAAATGTGGTTCCATTTAATTGCGAGTCTGTCTGAGGCGCAATGAGACATAACAATAACAGTAGGAACAGACCTTCTATCTGTCTCACTCTGTTTCTTTCTCAAAACAACATTTCTTATCTCACAGAGACACACACATACACACAAAGCTATGCACCCAGAAATTATTCTGATTCTGACCTTTGATAGGGATTCTTTAGATCCATGCTGTCACTTTTGAAGGACAGAGTCAGACAGAGACAACAGAAAAGGTTAAAATACTGAAAAGAAAAAAAAAAAACCTTTAGGAATGACATTAAAGTAACACATATTTACTTCATATGTTATTTTGTTACCGGTATGTTTTTTTTTTTTACAACAATCACACAGGATTTCATCAGAAAAAAAATCACTCACTGTAAAATGTAAGTGTAGCAGAGCAATGCAGCTGTGGCTGTATGCTTAGGATCATTATTGTTCGTTGAAGGTTGAACCTCCGCTTTAAATCTGCTGCCACTCAGCTCCATCCATGTTCCTACCAACTCTGTCCAGCTTAGGGTTTAGAATAGAATATTATGAAGTAGAATAGAATATATTAGAATAAAATGGAATGGAATGGAATAGAATACAATAGAATAAAAATTAATGTAATAGAAGAGAATGGAATGAAATAGAATAAAATAGTAAAGCATACAATGGAATGGAAAAGAACAGAAAAGAATAGAATATAAATTGACAGAGTGGAGTGGAATAGAATAGAATGGAATGTCTTAGAATAGAATAGAATGGAATCAAATAGAATTGAATAGAATACAATGGAATGGAATTGAATGGAACTGAATGGAATAGAATACAATGGAATGGGATAGAATAGAGAGGGATAGAATAGAATAGAATAGAACAGAACAGAATAGAATGAAATTGAATGGAATAGAATATAATGAAATATTGTACCCTGTGTTTAAAATGAATGTAACCACCGAAGTACACAATAAGCACTCAATAAACACGGTTAATATTATAATGAAACAATACAAAAAAAAAGAAAAAGGACTAATTCTGACACAGAGCTCAGGGCTTTAGAATCCTCTATGTCCTCTACTTTCTGCCGTAGGGCTGTGGAGCACGAGGATGAAGCAGCTGTGGCAAAGCTGAGATGAATTAAAAAGAATCTTCTGTCTATACTCTGTTTAGCCCCTTGAGAATCAGCAGTGTCCTCCCTCAAGGTCAGGTTGCATCTCATTGGGATACTTATTAAAGGATCCCCACAGCATGATGCTGTCGCAAACAATGCCTAGCACTATGTAAGGAGTAGAACTACTAAGGAGTACAACAAGGAGTCTCCTCTGTTAAGAATGGCATATTCCATGTTTACTGCCCCCCCTTATGACTTTGTTTTGTTTTTAATAGGACTTTTCTCATAAGGGCCCCATTTCTAGAGAGCTTAACTAATGAGGCTCTTGGCTGCATGCCTGATTAATGTCATGTGTAATCTTCACAGACTGGCCTTTTTATTAGCAGATGACTGACTGATTAGTATTCTGTGAGTTGTTCAAAGCTTGATCACGTATTTGTTAAAATTAGTGTAAAAGCTGATTTTCCTCCCAGAACAACTGAATCATGAATAATTTTGCTGGTTAAGTCATTTGCTAAAGTAATTTGTTAAGGGTTATCAGAATAAACTAATCTCGATGGATGCCAAACCTTTCAGGTTTCACTTGTAAAAAAACTATTTAAAAACCATTACATTTTTCTCCTTCCATTTCACAATGATGTTTTTAACTGTGTTGATCTATTAGATGGAATCTACAAATACGTCTAAGGTTGTAAGGTGATGTTATGAAAAAGATAAAGAGAAATGAAAACTTTTCCAAGACAAATGTCACTGCACATACATGAATGATGATTCACATTCAGATCATGTTTTTTTCAAGCTTAAATTACTCATCTGCCTGTGAGTCTGGGTCTGTCTGCATACCTGTGCCTGACATTAAAGTACTTATCTCTGTTTTTTGTTTTTTTCTGTCTCAACCCCAGACAAATTTGGCGTACCCAGGTACCTATTTCAGAGTCAGTGTCGGGAAGCCTGTCCTGAGGGGTTCTTCCACTCTGCAAGAATGAGTTGTGAGCCGTGTCCTGCAGAATGCATCGTTTGTGCTGCTTCAGATCGCTGCGTCCAGTGCAGCATGGGATACACGCTCAAATATGGCCACTGTGTCAAACTTGAGTGTAGCACAGGTTAGAGACTGTAATGCACATGGTCACCTCTGCAAACAGTATGCATTTAAAAGGTTAATTTTAAGACAGATAAACCCTGAAGAATGATTTATCTGATAAAATCCACCAACAACAGGTATTTTATATAATCAACATTAAACCACTAAGAATCTTTCATCCCAAACATGATTTCCTATACCTTACATTTTTGGTGATATAAGTAAACAAAACAAAGCAGTTTGTGAACTTCATATCTGTCTGCCTATGTTGTTTTTGTTGAATATCTTAATGATAAACTTTCCATATGTGTTTGTTGTTCAGAGATATTTGTCATACTCTGAAAGTCACATCTGAGATGAGCTCAGATGTTCTTTGCATGATGTTAGTTATATGATTAGAGACTCTGGGCCATATTTCTATCATCTCTGATATTTCAACAAAGAGAAAAATGTTAGAAACAAGTCCCTGGCAAGCCTTAATCTAGTCCATCTTCCAAAGCCCACACCCTGTATTCACCCCCTCCTTTTTTTCTGATCTTAATCCTCATTTTTATCCTCTGAGAGATTGGGAATGATCAACACCTCACAGTTTATATCAAAGCATGAGATCAGCTGGGAATAGCAGCCAGGGGAGAGTTGAGAGAAAGCTAGAGCTCCTGCTCTTTGCAGCATATGAGATAAAGAAATAAGGCGGAGCTTTCTGCACCTGTTGGTCCGAAATGAAAGTTGATTCCAGCAATATGAATTTTTATATAAAGAAGAGCTTGCATCATTAAAGTAGATAAATTACTTTCCTTTCTCTGTTTTTCATGTTCTGTGGGAGTATTGTATTCTCCTATTACATCTTGATTTAGTTCATTTAAAATAGACAGGATTTATTATGCTTAAAGTTAACAGTTACCAAAGCACCTTTTTGTAAAATGACAAATAAAATCTGTTTAGAATTATCTCTCTTACATGTGATCATCACTGTTTCAGGAGAGGTTTCAGATGCAGAGGAGGATGGCTGTCTCCCCTGTGATGAGGGCTGCAAGAAATGCAAGCGCGGTAAGTAGACCACATCTCTTCGTTTATCTCACTATCGCCAGTTTAAAGTAAAATAAATCTGAGCTATTTTGTTCAGTTTAGAAATTTTACCAGGATGAAAGGATATATCCCAGGAAGAGATCTGCAGAAATGTTCTTCTTGCTTCCTGCTGCATGTTGATCAACCATCAACAGAACTATACAGCTGCTGCAGCTTGACGTCATGAATAGCTCCTGGACTCTGGGTTTTCCTCTGACGACTACACAACACAATTGTGTTATTGAAGTAGAGCGTGAGATTTGGACAAAGGAAATCTGAGAAGTGATTAAAAACAAATATTTGTTTAAACAGGCAAATTGTTGCGCATACAACACTCGAAAGTTTTTTCCAAAGTTAGGAGCCTTAGCATATTTTCCAAGGAAGCAATGAAAAGGTTCAAGGCCTTGTAAAAGTGTTTACACCTTTTTAAGTTTTCCACTTTTTTTTTTAATGAACAGATTCCTATGCATTTAAACATATTTAAGGATTTTTGAATGACAGTGGTCAAACAGCGAGGAGGTTTTCCTCAGGAGTCGAGAGGGAGAAGTGATCATTCAGTCAGAACAGTCATCTTGTGTGGAACTGTTGCTGTGGTCTCTGAGGTTGATTATTTCATAGGGCTTCACAGCAACCACCAACAGGTTTAAATCGGAAGGCAACTGGACTTTTACTCAGTTATTTTTAAGACACTTTGACACCTATCCAGGAGTCTGTAGTTGGAGTGCTGATGTATTTAAGCAGCATGGAAGTCCATCATGCTGCACACAATCCAAGTCAGATGCAAATCAAGTCTTTAAAAACCTGAGTGAAAGTCTGGTTCCCTTCCAATTTAAGCCTATTTGTGGTTGCTATGACCCTGATGATTAAGAATTTACACAGGCATGTTCACAATATAGTAATAATAATAATTGAACTTTACTAATCTCACACTGGAGAAATTCCACTCTACATTTAACCCATCCCCTTGGGGAGCAGTGGGCTGCCATTGTGCAGCGCCCGGGGAGCAGTGGGGGGTTAAGGAGCCAGAGTGCAGGCTGTGGGGATCGAAACCCGGTTCTTGCAACCTTCTCATAGCAACCTTCTCTCCCGTTTCATTTTGCTCAGTCTTTATTGAAAAATGACTCAAGCTCAGACAGACAAGTCTTGCCATAGATTCTGGATGAATCTAGGTCTGGACTTTGACTGAACAATTCTAACAAATGGACATTCTTTAACCTAAGCAATTCCATGTTGACTCTGGCTCATATCCTACTAAAGAGTGTACATCAGGCCCAGTCTGCCCTGCACTGAGCTTCATCTGTTTGGACATCAACTCTGATGCTGAAGAAAAGCATCCTACCACCACCATGTTTCTTAATGGGACTGGTGTGTTCAGATTAATCTGCTGCAATATCTTTCAGTTTGGGTTCATTTAACCAAAAGTCCTTCTCCTATATGTTTTCTGTCTCCTGGAAAACTTAAAGCAGGATATTTTATGTTGTTCTTACCATTTCTTTCTTCTTGCCGTTCTCTCTCTAGGACTAGATTTGTGGAGTGCACAGTGATAGTTGTTCTGTTGAATTTTCCCAACTGGGTTGTGGATCTGTAAAGAATTTAATGTGCTGAATTTGCTTTGCAATGATGTGAGAAGATTCTATAAATGACCTTGCAACATCTTTCTGTTCCCTGCAGTCTGCTTTAGGCCATATCTCTCACTCTGGAAAAAAACAGCTTCTTCTCATAGTGAGTTTAGGTTTAGTACTGCATGGATGCGAGGAAGCTGCTGGTAACTGTTTCATCCACATGCTCTGGAAAACATTAGTTACGCTTTCTAAAACTATGTAAGATACAATCTGCAATGCCGCAGAAAGACTAACCTCCTTCCTCCTTTCAGAGATTATCATTACATACCACTGAAAGTTGTTATTGTGAAGTGAACTCATCTGAGGCAGAGATGGGCTGTTATTATGTCATTATATGTTTCGTCTGGAATATGTTGCTTCTGTCTGGCTACCAGTACGACCGTCCTGCTACCCATCATTTACACAAACCAAAGCTGTCAGTCAGCAGAGGAGGGATTAAAGATGAGCAGCTCATCTGCAGAGTTAGGAAACAACACTGATGCAAATATTTTCAGAATGTTTAAAGGGAATATTTTAATCCTGTTTGTGAAAATATTAAAATTTATTCATAGTCTTACTTTAATTGTTTGGTTTGTTGAATTTACTGGCAAGCATCAATGCATACAGTGCATTTAAACAGTGTTCATCCCAAACTTGATTGTATCTAAATGTTATGTTATGCATTAGACCAATAGTGAAATGGGAGGGAAATGATAGGATTTTTTTATGTTTCTTGTTTCCAAGCATAACTACTACTGCATCTCATTTTTCTGATGTGAAGTAAACTTATCTTAGGAAAAAAACAAAACAAAAAAAAACTGAAACACCAACCTCCTACAGAGAGGAGAAAATCGAGAACAAAAATTATTTTTATGCAGCTTTTTTTTTTGGTTGATATTTTCTGCATCTACAAATCAAAGATTGTCACTCAAAGAAAAGATGTGTTTAGAAGATGTGGCTTTTAAAGTTAAAGGATTCAAAATCCAAAGGTTTTCTTGTTTAAACCAAAGTATGAGATACCCCCCTCCTTAAAACTACTGTTAAAACACAAAGTCAGGGAGTATCTCCTGGAAGACGCCCTCCAGCAGAGCTGCACAGGCTTGCAGAGTGAATGCCAAGTAGAAGTGGAGAAAACATGTGGAGACCCTGCACTTTTACTGAGACACTAAGAAGCTTTATCATCTGTGTTTCAGGTTTCCATATCTGTTATTTTTATCCTGAAAACAACAGTGTTGTTTATTATTTTACTGGCTCTCCATACAAACAGAGTAGAGTGAGGGCATTTTTTCTGCTTGGATGTATTTAAGATAATCTTATCAAAAGTAGACAGCAAGTCAAACGTGTTGCTGCTCTCTTTGATTCACAGTGAACCACTTTTTTGTATTTCTCAGCCATATTTCCTGAAAGTTGTAGCTCTGGAAGTCGGTTGAAGTGATAGATTTAGGTGATGGGTTCATCGATCACTCGTCATGACTGCACTCCCTTACACTTTTAATTGAACTGAACAACCTTAAAGTGTGACTGTGTGCACTCACATCACCTTTCTTCCTTAATTGCTGACATGATGTGCAGCTTTTTATTGCAATTTGAAAAAAAAGAGAAAAGTGTGAGTGCTTGCACATTCCACAAGTCAGTACCTCAGAAAGTGTACAGCAGCTGAAATGCTCCCCTCCTACTTTGCACCCTTAATATTTATGCGGGCGCTATTTTCTCCCTCTCCTAGACACAGCCTGCAGGCACCATTTCCGCCTTCTTACCCGAGTTTTCTCCTATACCTCAGTCCCTCCCACCTCTCCTTTTTCCCCGTCTTTCTATCTCTGTATGAGTAATTGCTTTCACAGGTTGTGGCTTGTTGATGCTATTGGAGTGAAAAACCGGTGCAATGTTAAGTTAAGGGTGCTGGAAGGAGACAGAAAGAGGAATGGGATGTGGGGGTCGGAGGAGGATTAATGCCCCAAGGGAAGATCTGCAAGAACATCTTTTAAAACCATCCTTTACCTTCTCTCCCTGCCTGTCTGATCTTTTATTTCTTTTCTTTTACCCACACCGCTCACTCCCTCTGTCATTGAAGATGTTGTGACATTTTTAGATCCGGAGGTGACAGTGAGGGTCCTCCAGAGTTTCTAGCTGAATGGTTTTGATGGACAGCTGAGATTAATTAGTTTGAGGGAAAATGTCCTCCCTTTCTGGTTTCTTTGGGTAAAAACAACGTCTTACAAACTGACTTGAAATACTTGCTAGAGTGTTCCAGTTTATTTTATTTACCCTTTGTAAATATGTGTGGAAAACCTTAAAATAAACAATAACCTCAAGCTGAAAAGAAAGTCTAAATATATGCTTTCAAGCATATATTTTAAGCATATATTTTGGAGTAGAGGAAAAAAACTCATTTACATATTGTATTTATTCATTTACCTACCATAAGCTTTATGATTTCAATTTGGATTAAACGTTTATGCAGACATTTTAGTATTGTTTCAGTGAGTCTATGCTCCATTTTAAAATATCTATCCGTTTTGAATTAAATCTGTCAAAAACATTAATAAACTTTAAAATATCATTAAATTATGTACTGAAATAGCTGAAATAAGATTGAGGGACCTCATTCATCTAAGTCAAACAGGTAATGGTGTAACAGGATCCTCCTCTCAATAAGGAATTCCAGTTGCTTCCTTTTGGATGCTGGTATCTTCTTCTAAGATGTAGGACAAATAGATTTGACAAGTTGTTTTTGTTCAGTGGTCAGATGATAACAATGGCTTTATATATTTTTCCCCGTCTTATCTGTGTATGATATGTTATGTCAAGCTGTGTATTTATTTATTATGTCTGTCTGTCTGTCTATCTATCTGTCTGTCTGTCTGTCTTACATTTTTGTAATCCAAAAACAGTACAAAACAGCAGCGGCTCTACTCTGAGTCCTCCCCGGGTGACAGAGCTCCCCACCCTATCTCTAAGGGAGAGCCCAGACACACTACGGAGAAAGTGTGTTTGGGCTCCATAGATGACCATAGATGAGGGTAGGAACGTAGATCGACCAGTAAATCATGAGCTTTGCCTTTTGGCTCAGCTCTCTCTTCACCACAACAGACCAGTACAGCGCATGCTTTAGGAGCATATATGGACACCCTTATGCTTGAACATGGTGTTCGTTATGGACAATCTATGATGAGCACAGAAGTCAAACAACAGAAAACCACTTCAGTTCAGGTCAGGTGGGCCATTCCTCCCAACCACACCTCCCCAATCCTCTGAGGAGTACCTTTTTCTTTAAAAATATACTTTTATGAGAAGTCTTACAGCATTGTACTTTTTACTTTTATGTGAGTAGACTAGAAAAGCACTCGGAGAGCACAGACCTCCACCAAGTAGCTAATTTCCCCTGACTTTCAGGCTAAGTTAATATGTGTATTCACAGAATTTTTGCAAAAATTCCCAGATCCAGATGGTAATCTGGATCCTCACCAAAAAGTAATGTATTGTTCCTTGGACTGATGTACACACTTGGTTAAAAAAATGCATTAAAATCCATAAATCATAACTTTTCAAGTTAACCTGCACATAGACAGACAGACAGACAGACAGACAGACAGACAGACAGACAGACAGACACACAAGCTCTCCTAAAACATAACCTCATTGATGGAGGTAAATATTACTACTCCTACTTGAGTAAAATCTCTGGCTCCTCCATCCACTGTGAACAACTTCCCTTAATGAAAACCAATTTGTTCTAATCTAAACCATTAAGAGAAATGCTACCTTATTTTTTGTACTCAAACCTTATTAGTTTAACTGTTATTTTTTCCCATGGTAAACAGTATGTTGTAACTTAACCTATTCTAACATACTATAACTACTGATTTTTACTTTTTAACTTAAAGAATATCCGGTTGTTATGATAAAGTAGATCAGTTACTCAGTACAAAGTTGCCTTTTTACCAAATGACTTCAAGGAAATAGCAACTTCATTTCAACTTCCAGAGATTGTTTGACTGCAGTATATAATAGCTGTAAGGAGTTAGAAAGAAAAAACAAAACAAAAAAACATGCAACCAAACACCCTTACAAAACTCAGAAGAATCAAACTTTTTGAGGTTAAAGAGTTTAAATGAACTCAAAATCCGACAAAGACTTTGCTGATTTTATTTATTGTTTTAATCTGTTTCTCAGTTCTTCTCTAATCACACTAAGGTGGTGACTAAAAAAACTGGCCAATGTATTGTCCCCTAGGAACCTGGACGATCCTAATGCATGAGATTAGAGCGCCTCCCTCTGGTGTTTACAGGAACTGCTTTTCAAGCTGAATTACAGTATTCAACCTCTGTAGAGAGCCTGTTAAGTCCATTTCACATCCAAAATGTGTCTCAAGTCCAAAAAGAAAAAACTAAACTAAGACTAATTGTTATTATTTAAAAAGGCAAAAGCTGAAGAATCGACTAATATAAAGTTCTTGTATAAATCTACCTTTACTTAAAAAATATTATTTATAATTAATCATGTTATAATTTTTCATATCACAAACATTAGATTTATTTTTTATTTTTATATAATTTGAAGTTAGCTAAATATCTAAACAACCTTATTTGAAGTCTTATATGTTAAAATGTTTAAAATGAATGTTTTTTTTTCTTTAGGAGTGAGACTGAAATTATGTTTATGTTTTCAATTCGATCTTGACAGCCACTTTGCACGTCTGCCATCTTTAACTACATCTAATGAACTTTCCAGCTTTACTGCTGATTTTTTTATTTTTTTTTTAAGACATTCTTTGTCCTAACTCCATTAACATGGTATAAAATGAGACAAACAAAATGAATGTCTTTCCATAAAATAAACATTTTGCACTGTTGGACAAAGTTAAATTACCCAACATGCAGAGGGGCTGGGAATAGACTGACTAATTATCTTTTTCTGTAATGCATTTTGATTTCCAGAAGATTCAGATGAGCAGAAGCAAAAAACTGTCTGTCAGGAATGTGAAGATGGACGCTATCAGTAAGTTTCAGTTTCAGTAGCATCGTCCAGCTTCAAGCTCTCACACTCACTGGGGAGTTTATGTGCTGCAGGTTTGGTGCTGATTGCCATCAGTCCTGCCCAGATCGGACTTACGATGTGAAAGAGACTATGACCTGTTCTCCATGTGAAGACAAACACTGTGAAATCTGTGACCAATCTCAGTGCTACTGGTGTGATGATGGATACTATGTTTCTGGTAACATCTGAACTATGTATATCTGTAGACTTAGGAACCCTGTGAATAGAAAATAAGCAGCTCATTGTTAAAATAAAAGGTGTTTAGTCACCAGCTGTTTAATGCATATAATTTAAAACCCTGAAAATGTTGGATTTAGTTGGGGTAAAAGGGACCTCATATGTTATAAAGTTGCGCCTTTTTTTTGTGTCCAGATGGAGAATGTGTGGATCATTGCCAGGAAGGATACTTTGTGGATGAGGAGAGTCAGGAATGCGAGCCTTGTCACAGAGACTGTCGCTCCTGTGGAGGCCCCAGATACGATGACTGTGACTCCTGTGAAGATGGTTTCACACTAGACAAAGGGGAGTGTCTCAGTGGGAAACAGCTCACTGCATGTACTGAGGGAAAGTTCAGAAACAGTGCGTCAGATTGTCAATATTTACTCAAAATTATAAAACCGAAAGATCTATATAAAATCCAGATATTTGAAAGTATAAAACTGTCTTTCTTTAGCTTTAATTACTTAGTTGTAAACCAAAGTAAACTTGGTAATATTCTTTTGCATTCTGTGTTCCTTTTGCATAAGGTCAGGATAATTGTGAACCGTGCCACTCATCATGTAAGACCTGCTTTGCAGCAGAGAAGGAAAACTGCAGCAGTTGCAACCCTGGTAAAGCAATTCTACACCACATACACTTTTCGTAGCTATCCAGAATCTTCAGGTAAAATTCTGGATCATGGATACAGCTTCTGGTGGCCTCATCACACAATTTTGTTGGCATTGTTTGCTGCATCTAACAGATTGCATCGATTCTTCAGGTCCACCTCAAATGATCAGCTAGATGCTATATGGCAGAAACATGGACACAGCAGGAAAAAACAAACATCAGAACTGGTTGAGGAAAGGATTAGAGACTAAAAATAACCTTTTAGGATGGTCCTGACATTAACGTCGCACTGAGAGTTGGTGTCCACAGGTTAAGTGCTTACAAACATTTGTGATATGTTTTATTTTATGGAACAATAGATGCTCCATACAGAAAATGATAATCTACACATCATACGGGTGTAGATTAATCCAGGACATGATAATCTGAAAGGAATCAATAGAAGACAGCATGACTTAAATCATTTAGCCTCTTATCCAGTGGCTTCTTCATATCTGACTGTAGTAATAGGCTTAGAAAACTAAGATAGTTTCTTAAATAGCCCTTATAGAATGATATATTTGTGTTTTCTCTTGCCTGTAGGACATTTTTTATCAGTGGATCAGACTTGTGTGACTCATTGTCCATCTGGAAGCTTTGTAAACAAAACATCTGGAGTGTGTGATTCCTGCCTTAGTGGGTGTATAATGTGCATGAACGCTCAAGCCTGTCAGCGGTGTCGGACGGGACTTTATCTACAAAATGGAACCTGTGTGGTGGACTGTCACAGGTGCTTTCCCTATTGGCTTTTTATTTATTTTAATTAGCAAAAAATATAAAGTATGTGACTGCTATCGGTCCCTTCTCTGCCTTTCTCAGAGGGTTTCCACAGGATAATAAATGCCACCAGTGTGACTCAGGGTGTGGATCATGCAAAGATCGTCCCTCCAACTGTTTGAGCTGTGAGAGCCCTTTTTTGCTGCTGGACAACTCCTGCTTGTCCTCCTGTCCAAGCGGCTACTATGACAACAACACAGAGTGCTACCACTGCCCAAAACACTGTAGTGAGTGCACTCAGGATGGACTCTGCAAGAGTAAGTGGGGATGGTGGATCTGTAAAAGTTAAGAGCTGAAGTAATTTAAGAAGAAGGAAATAGGTAGGAGGTAAAAGTGAACATTTTCTAGGCTGAAAGGAAACTAACTTTAACAGCAGGAGGAAGATAAAAATAGGAAGAAAGCTAAATGAAAACAAAGTTCTAAGTATGGGACAGATGGTGCCAAAAAAAAAAATGTTTTACAAGTGACTTTAACAAACAAAGGGGTCATTAGTGATCATATCCCAGTGATTTCAGCAGTTCTTTTTTTGTTTGTTTTACCTTACACAATTTAATCCCTCTGTTTTAGAATGTGCAGATTACTACTTCTTGTATGAGGATGAGTGTGTGGACGACTGTCCCAAAGGTCACTTTGCCAGTGAACAGCAGCAGGCGTGCATGCAGTGTCATGCTGACTGTGCCTCATGTGATGGACCGGGTGAGGATGACTGCGATGTGTGTCGCAACCCTAAAGCTGTCCGATACAACGGAGAGTGTCTGGCCAGATGTCCAAACAACACCTACTATGATGAGAAGACTAATGAATGCAGAGGTAAGGGAAGTAGAGGAGTATGATTAATTAAAATAAAAGTTTTATGCACATTTTTCTACAAGATGTTCTCTCTAGTTTCCACCTAGTTTCCATTAATATTCTTGGACACAGCACTTTGTGAGTCAACCTGATCTGTTTAGCTGGTTCTAATTCCTTCTCCTGCAGCTTGTGACGAGTCATGCCTGACCTGTTCAGGCTACGAACCCACCGACTGCCTCAGCTGTGACACCAACAGACGCCTGGATGATAGTGGACACTGTGTGTGGTACAGCCAGTGCTCCATGGAGTCATACGTTAGCCTGAATGGTGACTGCCAGCAGTGTCACACACGATGCCATCGCTGTAATGGTCCAGGCGAGGACCACTGCCTCAGCTGCAACGACCCATACTTTCTACTGAGTGAGTCATCAAGGTGTCAGTCTGGAGGCCTTCAGTGTAGGAAAACTGCTTTAAACATCTCTGTGGCTGTGCCCTTTAGACAGCACCTGTGTGAAGGTGTGTCCCGTGGGTTACTACGCTGATGACAAAAGTGAGCGCTTGTGCGAGCACTGCCACTTCAGCTGTGAGTCCTGCAACGGACATTACAGTCAACAGTGCACTACCTGCAAACCAGGATTTTTTAAACAGGCTGGGAGTTGTGTCAAAACCTGCTCAGAGAGGTTAGGAGACATAAAAAAAACCTTCCCTCCCCATTGTTAATTGCTATTAACACCTGTCCACAATTTCAGCTACTTTGGCAACAAAACCACCATGCTTTGTGAGCGATGCGACCCGTCCTGCAGCCAGTGTGAAGGCAGTGGCAACAGGCACTGTCTGGGCTGCAGAGAAGGTTATGTGTACATGAGGCAGTGGGGTCAGTGCCTGAAGAGCTGCCCTCGAGGGTACTTCAAAGACCCCTGGTCCACAGACTGTCACAAGTGTCATGCCACCTGCAAGACCTGTAGCGGTAGGAAGAAGATGTCATGACTAATTGATGCTCTGTTGTTTTTATCTGTAAATGTGAACAACAAAATTGGTTTTCAATTAAACTTTTTATAAGGTGTAATGCTGTTGATCTATTTAGAGTACAGTTTAAGAGTCAACAATATTGCGCTTCAAGTAATACTCCTGTTCTTCCAGATGAGGGTGCTCTAGCCTGTTTGTCATGCTATGATGGCTTCACCTTTGAGGGGAGCTTCTGCAACAACCCCTGTTTTATAGGCTTCTACCCAGCCTCAAAGGTAACAGGGTACAAACCATTCCTCATATTTATATTTCATCTTCCATAATCTAAAGGCTTTTTAATATTATTCAAAAGCGACGTGTTCAACAGTTTTTGAAGCTTTGTGAAGGTTTTTCTATGGAATTTGGCTGCTTCTTCATTTTAATCCAGTTCATGCACCAAACAGTGACACATTTTTAAAGTGTACTAAAATGATAAAGTTGGACAAATTATTTGAAAAAAAAAAACAACAACAACAAAGACCTAAAAAAAATGACATAAAATATGAATAATTTGCAGATTTTAAATGACCTGCTTTAAAGTTTCAGTTTATAACTCTTTTAAAATCAGCTAGTTGCAATTTTATGTGCCAAACTGTGCTTTATTTGTGTTAAATATATCTTCATTAACAAAAGAGAGTCATCATCCCACGCATTTAAAAATGGGTCAGTTTTTCCAGCTGAGAAGGATATATGACTCCACAGCACAACCAACGGATATAGTATAAGAGATACAATAAAGTAACACCTTGATACTATCGCTGGAGTATATTGGGTCACTCAGTATCATCGGATGACCCAATAAGTGAACCTAAAAACCGGATGGGGGGGAGGGGAGAAGTGTCACCGCCACACTAACCCATCTAGTTCCTGTTTCGGGCCTGGCCCCCCACCCTGCACCCAGATCAGACGACCCCCAGCAAGACCCCCACCCCCCAATCCCCCACCCCCCCCCGAGGACGGACCCCACATGTCCTACAGTGCCCTTGCTGCTCAAACATGTTCTTCTTATCAGCTGTTTTCTCAAAAATTCACACTGTTAGTAATTTAGTATAGTTAGTATATAAATGGAGTGACTTTTATTCCTTCAGGTTCCAAAGCATAGTGACCCAGACTGCAGAAAATGTAACCCATCATGTGAGGGCTGCTGGGGCCCCAGCATGTGGCAGTGCACCCTGTGCCCCGCCAGCAAGATTCTCTCAGATGATGGCCGCTGCTTGAGCTGCTGTGGAAATAAGACACCACGTGATGATACACCGCTACACAGAGAGTGCTGTGACTGCGAGGCATCGCGAAGTAAACAAAACACAGTACTGCATGCCTATGATACTGCAATTCTTTTTCTTTAATCTTGAAGTTAATTTAATCTTTGGAAATCATTTATTTATTTTAAACGCTTTTGCAATTACCTTCTTCTTTACTGCATCCCCCAAAAATGTTGTAAGACATCACAAATATTTGATCTTCTTGCCAAACTGGTGTTTCTGGTGGTTTCTGCAAGAATCTTTTATTTTTATTTTTCTCCTTTAGCAGTCATACAGGGAGGTGCTGATTCAAGTTAACAACTGACAAGGATATCAGTAACTGAAACTTCTTAGTTTGAGTACTTTACTTTGTACTTTTTGAGATTATAGGAGTTTAAATGGGCTGTTTCAAGAAAATAATCCATTTAAATGATGCATAAACTTTCAAGAGAAAATATTAGTAAATGTTTCAAGATTTAGGCTTTTTCTTTTTTCAGGTCAATTAACTTTTTTTCGTCTAAGCCTTGGGCTCAGCAACTTTTACAATCCACCCTTGTAAACTTTACTAAAATCTGGGAGAAATATAGCTTACGTACATTATTACATGTAGCTCTACAAGTACCGTATATGACATTTCCATTCATGCATTATCTAGATGGCTACGTTTTGGAATATTGACCAAGATTTAGACAGTTGATGTTTTTCTGTTTTTGTAAAATCCAGTCTTCAATTTAAATCATGTGTGCTAATGATGGTAAACATTTAAAATATCCACAATAGTGTGCTTTGTGGATCCTGATGGAGAAACACTGACCTAATGTAACCTTATAAATACGCTTCTTCTTTTTCAGTCCAGTGCATCCTTGGTGTCAACTTCGTCATGGGGTCAGTTGAGGATTTAGAGAGCGGTGCCAAGATCACTGTCATAGCCTTCGTCATGATCATCCTTGTTCTGGGTTTAGGGATCTTCCTTCTCCTCACCGCCTGCTCCAAGTGGCCCACTGTCAAGCCCAAAACCACAGCTGGGGGGTATCAGAAACTAGAAACTAACGATGACTGTCCACAGCAGCCCACTGCCTCTTCCTTTGGGGACTACAGTGACAGAATCACTGAGCATGAGAGCAATGATGAGGAGTACGACGATGAGGACATTGTTTACATGACTAAAGATGGAACAGTGTATCGGAAATTTAAGTACGGCCTTCTGGATGAAGATGATGTCGAGCTGGAATATGATGATGAGAGCTACTCATATAAATAAGGCAAAGACAGTAAATATGAAATGTGCAAAGAAGTTATATATCGGGCAGGTCTTTATGAAAAATTAACAGCTTGGTAAAGCTATAAACACGTTATAAGTCACAAATAGAAAAATATTGTGTGTTATTTAATGATGGGGTAAATACATTGCTAAATATTATGTTTATTTTAGAATCCATAACAAGCCTTCATAACAGCTCATCAAGTACTTCAACTTTAACAATCTCATTAATAACGTGACTTAATGATTGTTTCTTTGGACAGTAATAGTGTTTTTTGTGCAGTTTTAATATGTTTGCAATTATGTTTCTTGTTTAAAAACTGCTTAAAACAATACATAAGTATTCTAAAGCCTGATTTTTGTCTTTTTTTCTTTTTTGGTCTGCAGGAAGACTGAGCCTTTTATGGTTGAAGTAACATATACTTATTTATTAAATAATTATCACCAAAACTGTAATTTTGGTCTTTCAAAAATCATTGATCTTTTTAACATGTTCCATGCCATCATTGTACTTCCAATTTCTTGCTGACATAGAGTTCCGACCTTGGGTCTAGTTTCGAAAGTTTTCTATTGTGCAATTTTTGCAGCTCTGACAGGGTGGCTGTGGTGTTATTGGTTATCTTCAGCATCAGAGGCTGATCTGGAATAGCATTTGCAACTCACCTGCCAATCATAATTAATATCTACCAATCAAAACTGCAGTATTCTGGGACTTACAAGAGCAGAAGCACAGAATGGTGAAGGAGGGCAAAAGATTGCGAAAGAGCAAACCTGGACTTATCAGTAATTTTAATTTGTCTAACCTAAGCCTTGTGGGTGTGTGCAGCTAACTGTAATTAGATAACTTTTAAGAGTTGATACTCTTGAATTAATCTATTAATCTAGCTTAAAATTAATAACTGATCTTGGTTGCAATTAGTTATTTCACTGTAAGATATTGCATGTTAACATGGAAACTATGTTAAGGTTCACTGTAAGTTTATGCAGAGATGGTAGAATATTCATAAGTACATTGTGCAGGTTTATAATTCATGTCCTAATTAGTATATTTTCTCATTTTTGCGATATTTAAACAAAATGCACAAAGGAACTGTAATCATGAACAGAACCTTATTAAAGAAAAAAGGGACAAGTAAAGCCTCATCTTTGACTGGATGCCTGCAGTCTTTCCCCCTAAAAGTAGCCAAGTCTTTGGTTCAGTTTACCTAGCTATTGGATGAATGCTGGTGGTTCCAAGCTTCCTCCATTGATGGTGATCAGTGGACTTGTTGGAATCGTAAAGGCAGCAGAAATGTTTCTGTATTCTCTTCCAGATTTTGTTTATAATGTTTTTTTTTACAAATACGACCTTTGCTTTCAGCTTTATAGAAATTAATTACCTGGATTTTGAATAAAAACTATATAATTTTTTTTTTTTTTTTTACAGTGTCCTGTCTGGCAATGTGGCAATAACAAAACTATATAATTTCTATATTTTACATACTGTTTTTTTTTCTTTATCATTACAACAATTTTTATGTGTGGAAGTCATGTAATCTTCTTCCTCTTTACTGCATCCAATCAAAATGTTTGATAAGACTAAAGAAGCGGTGAAGTTATCTTTAGGCAATACTAGGTGGTTGCTTAGGGCCCCAAGATGCTTGTGAAACTTGTGCAGCGTATCTGTCCAAAGCGATGCTCTGTTCAATGAGTGCTCCAGGCAACTGGTTGTCAGAGAGCTGGTTGGATTAGTCCGATAAGTTTCGATTTACTCTCAGACAGTCGCCTAGTTACCACTCAAAGCTGAGCATCCTGTGAAACGGCAGAGGTTCAATCCTCGAGTAAAAAACTAAAATATAGGACAAATTTTACAGCAGAATATACTTAAGTATATCCAGGTCTAGTGAAGGGGAGGAACAGGGCAGATCTAAACCAAATGTACCAGGGGGCCAGGAGGCGGGCAGCGTGTTTTCATGGGGGCCCAGAAAAGCATGAAATAAAAAAACAGGGCAAGGGATAAAAATATAATAAGAGAGCTGCATGAAGTGAATATACATTTATAATATAGGAATTTTACATATTTTTGACTTAATTTAAGTTAAAACTACTGTTTTCTATAAAAAATTAATTAGAATTAAAAAAAAATGTTAAATTCATCTGTAAAAATTATAGCATGTTTTTTTATTATATATATATTTTATAATTTTATTACATATTTTATTTAAAAAAAAAATTAGCAGATTAAAACTGGGATCCTATCTCAATACCACTTAAGCTATCACCTTATTGTTTTGAATAATTAGTAAAACAGAATTTGTAAAGAAAAAGAATGAAGTAGACATATCAGTAACCATGCCTGTTCCAGCGAACGTCATCATTAGAATATCTTTTAAAGCTACAGTGTGTAATAATTACAGGCATATAAAGTCAGAAATGTAATATATTATACATAACTATGTTATTTATCATCACCTATGAGCTCAGCCTTTTAACCATAATATTTGCGTTGCCTTAGAATTCGTTATTTATAATTACATAGGAGCGGGTCTCGCAGCCATGGAGGCAGACATCTTTGCGCTACGGCAGCGCAGAGGCAACAAACTAGCGATTGCGAGATCTCCCATGACGCTCGAAAATAACTACGGCAAGTTGAGAGAGATGAACTGAGACGGTACTGAACAGTAGATGGCAGTATTATGCCTGAGAAGCGTTTAGTCTGCCTGAAACCAAAGAAGAAGAAGAAGCAGGTATACTGCGCCTCGGTAACAAAAAGGTAAACAAGGCGGCAGGCGTGAGTGACTTTGCAAACTGTTTGGCACTGTGTGGCCAAACATCAGACGAATGGAGGATCATGCCTACTCTGTATCACAACGACAAGCGGCGGACACCGAACCCCCGTCATCTAAGAAGCGGAAACACGACGAGAATAAACGCAAGCGTGACAAGAAACGACAAAAAACACGGATCAACATTGGCACGGCATTTACACGATGGAAGTCACTGATGGAGGAAAAAGGTTTTCAAAGTGACGCTCAAGTTGCCAGTTTTCTGCTGGACAGGTAATTAATCCTACACACACAATTGTCTAATATCACTGCAGTTTTTGGAGTACAGGATGCTCAGACCTGTCTAAAACAATAACATGCTGCGTGATGATGCTGTTACTCTCCAGTATACTTATTCAGCAACGTCCCTGACGTTTCACAGGTAATGATTCAGTAATTTTCTGTAAAATAATTTTCTGGATATATACCTCGGTTACTTCTCTCCGGCTCCTTTGGAGATCTTCAAGCCTTTCCTCCTCTGCTCTCACCCCGCTGGCTCCCCTCTCTCGCCTGGCCCCAGCTGCACGCTCACCCCGGCCTCTCTGCCCTCTTCCTTTCCCTCTTCCTTGCCTTGTAACCCCCGTGCCACAAACAAGACTTGGACTCTGTAAACGGGGAATATATATTCTTCCAGCGAACACAATCTCGCTGTTAAACTAATGACTACAATTACTTCGTCTGTTTATATCACCATGCAAAGCAGCTCACCAAGACGTCACAACGATGTAGAAAAAATAACGGGTATATTTATTATCTTAAGTCTACATGAAATCTATACCCTACACAGACTAATGAAATACTATCTGTAAAATTATCTATGTAAACAAACCTCATCACTTGAGAAGGTAGGTGATGCGGACGTCGTGGAAGACATTTTGTCCCGTAACGCTCGCCGTACTGTTGGGGGGGAGAAGCGGTGGGGGGGAGACGTTCATGTTGCTGCGGTCTGCAGTCTGACCGCTAGATGTCGCTGAAAATTACACACTGTAGCTTTAAGTATTATGTCTTCAGTACAGGGGCCATAACAGGGGCTCAGTCCATTTTAATACACATTTGCTAAAATAATTCAGGAGGACAGCAGCAAATCATGTATACAAACAGGGCAATGAAAAGAAGATGATGAAAAGAAGCTACTCCAGCGATGCTGAAAAATGGAGAGAGAAGAAGGAAAGCAGAAAGCTGAATTTGGAGGTACGGGAAGTGACTAGCTTCTTCATTGTGGCAGCAGCAAAATGGCCAAAAGAGACAAGCACAGCGACACCTGTTAGGGAGGGTTCATCTTGTGGAGATGTACAAGTAGTGATTATCACAAAACAACTTTCCTCTATATCGAGAAGTAGGCCTGTTTCTTTGTCCCATTGAAGGTAGGAAAGCTTATGGGTCATTTCATTTTGAAGTTGTCGTTGCGAAAGAGCATTGACTCTGAAATGAGGGCAAACGCAGAGACGAAGAATTGATAAAGACAGTTTATTTAAAACGAGCATGGATGGACCAGAGAAGCAAGCCAGCCCACTGGATCGCCTCTTTTCTGAAGAACAAAACGAGGATACTGATGAAAACAAACAGGAGCCGACGAGCGATGAGGACAGGGAGAATTAAACTGAATCCGAGTTGCACTAGTTTATAACACTAGTGCCTTGAAGTCCTGGGTTAAATTCCTGGCTTAGGATCTGAATGCATGGAGTGTGCATGTTCTCCCTTTTCATGTGTGGGTTCTCTCTGGGTACACCCACAGACTTCTGGATATAGCCAGCAGCCCCACCATGACCCGATGGGTATGCGGAAGAACATTGATGAATTAAATTGAAAGACATTTTATCTTCCTGCTAAACAGGTGTTGCTAGTGCTTTCTGCAAGGATCTTTTTTTTTTTAAATGTTCTGCTTCAGCAGTCATACTCCCAATAGAGCAAAGCAGTTTTTAAACTTAATGGTGGGAATTTAATCATCAACCAGCCTGTGTTGTGTCTGTATGAGCAGAGATGTTCTAATCCAAGGTAACAACCAACAAATATTTTAGTAACTGAGTAAAAACAGCTTCTTGGTTCAAGCACCTTTCTTTGTACAGTTTGAACTATTAAGTTAATAACAGAGACTCTAAATCAGCTGTTCCAAAGAAAAATCTGTGTAAATTGGAGCTTGAGTTTTAAATACTAAAAATAATGCAAAATAGAGTTAAGGTGCCAATAATTGTCAGTTTGACATTTTGGTTGTTTTTATTCTGCATTTATAAAAAAAAAAAATCAAAAAGCTTTAACATTATCTGTGCACAGCTTATAGCAGCACAAATGCACAGGTGCAGAGTAAAAGCTTAGCAAACAAACTTTAAAATCTTAAACACTCTTCCTCCTTTAAAGAAAAATTTGAAAGAGCTTATGGAAAATATTTACATCCGTGAAAGAAAAATATGTAAATAGAAAAGTAGCATGTATTGTTTAAATAAAGTGCAGCTTGTGCCAGAGCATCTCTAAAATTGTCGGCGGTCAATTTGATTTTCAGCATGGGTGTTTATTTGTAAGTTATAAATGTAATATATTTATATATGACCATGTTA